TGGTCTACAGAGTGAGTGCCAGGGCAGCCAGCGCTACACAGAGAAACCCTGTCTCAAAAAAAAAAAAAAAAAAAAAAAAACCAGCGATTTATAAATAAGTTTGCAAAGAATCATTCAATGAAGCTCCCCAAAGTGACTCTTCTAAGCCATGTAACCAGATGTGACCTCACTGATGCTCTCTGAAACGTAAAGTCAGCAATGGCCCTCTCCAGCCTCACTTCACAGATGGGAGGGTCTAAGACCATTGTCAGGTGTCATTAAGACTTGAGTACCTGTCACTCAAGGGGCAAAGTGGTATCAGAAGAAACAGTAGTATCATCAGGGCAAGCACGGGGACAAGGCAGGAGACATTCCAGGTGACAGCCACAGTTATACAGTGGCTCTTTCCCACGAAGATCCAGGTTGACAAATTCACTAGAAAATATAGTTAGAAACCGCTCCCAGGAGTCAATTTGTTCCACCATTTTAATCCCCAGGGAAGAGAAAATGTACAAACTTTCAGTAATCCATCAGTTCTACAAGCCTCTTGCAACCTTAGCCAGACCTTTGAAAACTGCTAGTGTACACGTTTTTGAAAGGTCACAGACAGAGGTGGGAGGAAGACACTGGGGTTTAGTCAAAGATTATCTTGGTCTCTAAAGACTGATGTTCTCTGTTCTCCGATAGAGGACAGGAATCACAGGCGGTAGGGCCAGATAATCTTCCAAAGACTTTTTTTTTTCTCATTGAACCCCACCCCACTCACACTGCAGAAAAGGAAACCCAGATTCAAACAGATAGGGCCCTGCTTTCAGCTATACCTCAAGGCAGAGTCAAAGCAAAGCGTGAGCCATTTCTCTTTCCTGAGCACACATTTGCTGAGTGTCCACCAAATTCTGGCTGGGGAAACAGGAAGAAGTAGAATCCAGGGAAGACAGTGGCACGAGCAGGACCCCAGCTCAGAGGGCACATGCTATATTAGATAAACACAGCATTATGGAATATGAGGATTTATAGTGGTAATTCCACCCCGGGGTTACCAGAGAAGCCTCCACCCTGGAGTAAGCTTCTGAGTACGTAAAGCAGACAGTCAGAGAGCATTCCAGGCTCTCCAGGGGACAGAGTGAGCTAAAGCAGCGGGTAGGAAGATCACAGGGTGTGTAGAAAGCACCATACAAGAGTTTGAAACAGCTGGGCGGCGGGGCTTATAAAGTGCCCGCGAACTATCTCGGGAAGGCCGTAGGGCTCAGCTGCCGTTCTCCACCTCATTTGGCATGCTCCCTGGGGCTATGGCCCGCGTCCACCTAATGGGCCAGAGCGACACCTGGCCAAGTGCTGATGGCATGGTAGGGCTCAATGAATTCCCTTTGAAGATGAGAGGCTGGTGAGGGAGAAAAGAATTTGCCACTCAAGTGAGTCAACTGGAACGGAAGGTGTGTCCTGGCTCCCTAGGCCTGATGCTCTGGCTGCCCAACCGGACAGCTGGGGTCACCTCCCCGGGGGCCACAGGGTTCCACTTGGGAACATCAGGTCTTTTTTTTTTTCACTGAGTCTTACAAAGCCTCTGTAGCATCACCAACATAATTGCTCCCAGAGCTCTGCTCCTGCATACCCATTGGCTTCCTAAGGAGTGATGGCACACATGTGCCCTCCCTACTCAGAGCACCTGCACATCACAGCCCACCCCCCACCCCCACGGGCGCGATATAGAGGACACGCAACCAGAGGCATAAATAGCACTATGCTTTAAAGTCTTCCTCCTGGGTGCTCTGTGCTTCCTGTCCTGAGCTCCGCTTTTTCCTTTGGGGATGGCTGACTGAGACACCCAGAGATAAACAAAGCCTTACAGCGACTCTCTCCCTGCAGAGGTGAGAGTGTTTCACAGTCTCCCTGTAGTCCTACCTTCTGTTGGCTAGTTGCCGGCATCATGGGTGGGAACAGGAGAGAGCACCGAGTCTGACAACTCCTTCAGACATATACCAGGTCTGCAGCACATATAAACACCCAGGCAAACTGCGCCAGGATGCACTGTGTTGGGGGAAGCCATCCACATACCACTGTAGTCATTAAGCAGCCCAAACAACCCTCAATGACTAAGGTTTTTTTTTTCCACTTACACTTGATTCTTTTGCTTTCACTACACAGTTGTATTAGCAAACGAAGAGTTCTTAACAGGCAAACAGGTCCTTCCCTGATTCTCCTGCAGGAATGAGGTCCTTAGCTCACTCCAGCGTTGGGGAGCACCTATTTACCTAGGTTTTCCAAAACACAGCTCTCAGCAGCTCTTGCCACAGAGTTGCTATGCTCCAAAGAAGTCAAGGGAGTGCAGGAGAAAAGGGACAGCCTGCAAGCCAAAATGACCGGGCAGGAAACCAAACCAAAGACGAGTCAGATACAGAGAGTGGATTGCAGCTTAGGTGACTGTCAGAGGACGAGCACCCGGGATACAGGAGGGAAAGTAGCCACAGAATGGAAAACAGAAAAAAGCTATCAGACTGCGCATCGACAAGCAGAGCTGGGGAAGGAAGTGATGCCTAGGCACACAGGTGCCTTCACTATTAGCCAAGGCAAGGCGACTGTGAAAACAAGAGCTGTCATTTTGCAGCAGTCCCTTTAGCCAAAATGGTTTACATCCAACAACAGGAAGAGCTGGCGATGTTGAACAGCAATAAAACAATCAACTAAGAGCTGATGGAATTTTAGACGGATATAACCAACGTGGGGAGAAATCTGCAATACCCCCAAAAGGGAGGCTAGGCACACCCTGCATTTGAGAAGCTCTTCTCGGCCTTGTACAACCGAGGAAATCCTTGCATAAATACACAAAGGGCCCTTGCAGAAGGACATTTTCTGCACCGTTGCTCCTAAGAGGGAAAAGTCATTTAAAAGCTCACCAGTACAGAATTCCTCAAGACTTTGTGGCACACACACATAAGGAGATGCTATGGAGGCAGAAGTTAAAGTGAGTGAACTCGGGGTAAGGCACCAGTGCTGGTATGCCTAAAGCAACAAGGTTAGAAGAAAAAGAGCAATTTTTAGAACCAATCAGTATTATATCATTTCTGAATTTTTCGAATAATAAAACAATGCTCTATATTATCCTGGACACTTGTGGTATAAATAAGCCAAACATAGACAGGACATGAACACATCTTTGGGATGGGAGTTGCACTTGCAAGAGAGAAAAGGCTAGGAAGAGGTCAGCTACAAAGGGTGGGGCTACTTTTGTTTCTTTCCTTAAAAGGCTGCAGGGGCTATGCAGAGAGTCCAGATGGCTGGAATAAGAGGAGTCAGGACACTGACTCCGGGAACTGCATCACGGTTGTCACACCACAGGCACACTGTGACTGACCCTTGTTCTTCAAACAAGGACTTAGAGCAAGTGGCTCCAGGCAGCCTCACCTTCCTTGCTTTTGTTTACAGCAGGAGGGTGACAAAAGGGAAAGCCTACAAGCACCAGGGACTATCACCTGCAAAGACTTAATCGAGTTCAGGGCCTGTCACTCAAATTTCCTCTCGCCTTGGGCATAGTGCGATACCTCCAGGGCCTCCGAAAAACCGGTGGGGCGCACAACAATAACACATCTCTGAACAGTTGTGATAAGCAAATGCATATGTAAAATGCTTTGTGCCTGTAACGTGCTATGCAGATGGTCACTACTATTAATGACCTGGATTTTACTGCAAAGGAAACCTTGGGCCAGATTTACATTTCTGGCCGACAGTGACTCATACAACTTCCCTCCTCAAGCACCTGGTTGAGCAAACAGGCCTCGGCATCATCCTGTGGTTAACTGCTTGAGGAGTTCACTGATTCTTCCTTAGGCAGGTGAGTCTCTGAGCAGGGATTGAGCACAATTGCAACCGCCCCCCCCCCCCCCCCCAGGATGCTGGAGCTGCTCAGGTGAGAAGATTCTCTAGGCCTGGGATCGGCACCTGCCCACTGCAGGACGGAGGAGAATAGTGTTAGCAGATGGTTAGTTAGCTTTCTCAGGTTTGCAGACCATGAAGCTGAAACAGGAGGGGCAAAAATAGTGACCCTCCTCAAACAGCAAGGAATGGGGGGGGGGGTTCATCCAGAAGTCTTTTCTTAATTCAGGGTAACCAGGGCAAGACCTTTCTGCTAAGTGCATTGGTTTCTATATATGCAAACATTTTTAAAATTAAACCTGACCTCCATTGTTCTGATGACTGTTATCTGAAGAACATTCAATTCTATTAACTATGAAATACAATAGAATTTTCCCTAATTGATCTTTCTGATCCAGGGGTTGGTTTTGCTGGGGGGAGGCCTTCTTGGAATTTCTTCCTTGACTCCTCTTGAATGGCACATCTATCTCTAAAAGATGGTTACTGGTGTCTTCCCACTAGTCCCGCCTCTGCCTTACCTGGTGAACACTCCTACCCACCTACATACCTGCTCTGAGACATGGCCCAAAAGACCTTCTAGGGGCGGCAAAGCAGAAAGGTCATAATTCAGAAAACAGATGTGGCATTTGAATACAACCCCCAAGGTACTCCCAGGGGACGGTGTGAGTAGCAATATTGCTGCTAACATTTCCCCAGAGACAGCAGGAGGCTACACAGCTAGAAACAGGGGTGCTTCTGACAGGCAGCCACAGTGACATCCTGATTTGAAGGGAGGGGAGGACCAAACTCTTGTCATGCTGCCTAAGAGCTGGACCCTAAGACTGTTGTATTTCTTCCCCACAGCTACTAACTTGCTCCACTAGCAACCCCCAGGATTTGAGAAAAGACTAATATCCCTGGGCATAAGAAGAGAAGACCACGACACCTGTAGGACTCATAACCTCCAGGGCATCCTCATGCCTGTAAACTCTTTGGTTTTCATGCAGACAAGGTGGGGGGTGGCTAGGGAAAGGTTCCACCTCCCTTGTTGTAGATGAAGACGTGCTTCTGAAGGCAAGAAGGTTGAAGAACTTGGGTCGGATCTTCTGATTTTAATTTCCGTTCTCTCCTCACGTACAGTCAACACATCATCAGCTTGGGGTAATATTTTATTAGGGATCAAGGCAGAGGGCCAGTATTCTAAGCCAATGTCAAATGCACAGGAGCTAATCACCCCTGCCCTTCAGTGAACAGTTTAGGGGAAGGAACCATTTGTGAAATTAAAGAAGCATTTGCACTGCAGTTCCCATTGTCTGGTTTCTAGAATCCAGGTCTTTAGTGTGTGCCCCTCCCCAACCCTCAGTGTACTCTTTTGCCATCTGGCTTCTTCGGTTCACTAGAAGAAGAGGAAGGTGGGACAAAGCAAAGGCTCAGAGGAACACCTGCCCCCTTGCCGTGCCTGCTGCCATGTGTGCCAAACATCAGACTGTTACTTAAAGCGTTCTCAACCTGTGGGTCTTGGCCCCTCTGGGGACCGAACAATCCTTTCACAAGAGTCCCGTATCAGATATCCTGCATATCAGATGTTTACATTATGATTCATAACAGTAGCAAAATTATAGTTACAAAGTAGCAACGAAATGATTTTATGGTTGGGGGTTCACCACAACATGAGGAACTGTATTAAAGGGTCCCAGAATTTAGAAGATTGAGAAGCAGTGCTTAGAGAGACATTTTAAGACTGGAGGTAAGAACAGAAACACTGTCCTACTATCAAGACACTTCAAAGGCTTCCTGTCGCGACAAGGGGTCCCCAGAATGCCGCAGAAGCGTCACCTGGGAGTTCATTAGGAGTGCAGAATGTCAGGGTCGCCCAGACTGCCCTAGATCAGAACTGTATTTTAATGAGACCGCAGGCACCTGCTGTACCCTTGGCTTGCTCCTGCAGGCAACCCTCACCAGCTCCATGGCCTCCTGTTTCTGTACGAGCCTGGGATCCTGCAATTTCTTCTCTGTCCTTTTGGGCTAAATCTTTTCTATCCAGTAAAGACTGCCTTAAAAATCTCACCTCCAGCAAGAATCCAACCAGCTCTTGCCATTTAGAGGTCTCTTCTTCTTCTAAGTCCTTGAACTTTCTGCCTCAGATTATGGGCTTTTATGATCGTAGTCTCTCTCTCTCTCTCTCTCTCTCTCTCTCTCTCTCTCTCTCTCTCTCTTATTAGCATTTCCAGCTGAGGTCTACATCTGATTTATTTCTGTGTTTCTCACAGCACTTTGGACTGCTCCTATCACAAACTAGTTCCGCAATGCTCCTGTCCATAATGCTTCTCTTTGTTCCACTTTACATATTGAAAGAGCTTTGTAATTCAAGTTATTATTTATTACTTTTGTTATTTTCAGCTAGTTATTGCCAAATATGATTATGATCTAGACTCAGAAATAGTTACCTAAAATGTTTATCCCCATACCTGCAGACATACCCTGCTCCAAATACTTGTGTGTGGGCTTACGTGCATGCACGTGTGTGTGTGCGCGCACACACACACACAGAGATTTTAATTCCTTGTTTTCCATAGCTGGAATCACAACTAGTAGGAATTTATTGAGACTATGTGGGAAATGACTGCTACCCGCATTTCATAATCTTACCAAGAGAGACAAAGGAACATGATCCCATAATAGAATGGAACATAATGACACACACATCCCAGAGTCTCGATCAGCATCTGCATTTGGGACAAGCAAAGGTCCCCTGGCCCTTGTTCAGTTGCTTAATGGAGAAGACTCCAAAGACAGCATGCCACTGGTGTCCTTCCAATTATAGAATCATCTGATTAGAGTTACAGTAAATGCATAGCTCAGTTTGCATTGCCCTGGCGTGAACCGCAAAGGAAGACTCTCTTCCTGGGCCATCTGAGGGTACTGAAAGCTGCAACTCTACCGCCTCGTCACTTCAGGGTCCTCACGCCAGGACTGGCCTAGAAATGGGACAGAAACAAGTTAGGACATTCCATTACTGGGGACCTTAGAGCCCAAGGCACCAGAGCTAGATGGGGTTTTTAATGAATGCTTAGAAGAGAAACTGGAGTGTCATACACTTTAGCTATTAGCTGAGTCTGGACATGTAGAAGGAAGGTTGTCTGGGGTAATTTTAGAATTTGTTATTCTAGCTTACCTTCAGTCTGGTTTATGGACTCTAGTGGTGGTCTATAGATCACAAGTTTGTAGCATCCTAGTCCATGATGACATTGGTTCCTTGTCCTATCTAGGTAAAGAAACACAAAGCAGGAATTCTTCGCAATTGCAAACGCATCCTTTTCTACACGTTCTATCACAGCTTGAGGCTTGGGCCCCATCGGGTTTTGGAAGCAGCTCTGACTATTGTGTCATTATTGCGTCTCTCTCAGTCATCAGACTGTGAAGTAATACAGCCCGAAACCCAGCCAGAGCCTGCACTGGGATGGGAGCTCCACTTGGAAGTCACCAAGTCAGAGTCCTAGTGGCTGAAACTCTGCTTTAGTGAACCATGAAATAGGCTTTCAAAGGGGCAGAGAGTAAGAGATATGTGAACCATGAGTAAAATTGTCTCACCAGCATGGTAACATTCATAATGAAGTAAACGGAAGCCCACTGTGTGATGGGCATCTGTCCAAGTCACTTACAGAACCAAGCCAAATGGAAGCCCAGAAGCACCAGAGAGTCAGCTCCAGAGGTCCCAGGACCTTGTGCCACTATTGTGGATGACAAGACATAAAGTCACGGCAGACAACTTCGTTCAGGTGTAGTCTTTAGTGCTACAATATGCTACCCAAGTGACCTTCCGAGCCTACTCCTTCCTCAAATCCTACTTACCACACTGGGTTCTCTCTCTCTCTCTCTCTCTCTCTCTCTCTCTCTCTCTCTCTCTCTCTCTCTTTCTCGCTCGCTCCTGAAACTCTATACAGACCTGATTGGTCTTGAAATCACAGAGATATGCCAGCCTTTTCTATATGCTGAGATTAAAGGCTTGTGCCATCATGCCCAGATAGCTAAGGAAATTATATAAGGAAGTTACATTAATTCAAGTTGGGTGGTGGGAAGGATAAGTCCACTATTTAAAAACTGTTTAGCCCAAGACAAATCAGCCAGATTCTCCTTGGCTGTCTTAGAGCAGTGATTGAAGTTCTTGACACTTTTTATCACTGCTTCAAACCAACCCAATGAATAGATACATGAGGGATTATCTAGATTAAATAGAGATATTGCAATCAAGGAATATGCAGGTATCAAATCATAAATCTACTATATATGTACATGCACCATTGTGAATATGTGAAAATAGGCAAAGTCCTAAATTTCGCAAGCCGACTCTTAGCAGGCAGGGGAATTAATCCTTAGACTCCTGGGTGAGGGAAATCACTGGAGAGTGGAGGTGAACAGGACAGGTTTAAGGGTTGCTGGTTTGGACTAAATCAGTGTGCCTATCTGCACCCTGGCAATGCCACGTCATGGTAGCCACCATGGTCCTCCAGGATTGCAACAGCTGAACCCTGTGCTGCTGGAGCTCTAAATCATTGTTTGGCATCGATGCAGAGGCCTCACCAACCAAAAACTATTCAAAGTCTGTAGAAGGCATCCATAAAATGCTAGCACTGCATGTGTGGAAGAAACCGTTTTCAGTTTGGATTCAGAAGGCAGAGTATGGGCAAGAACAAGAGTGGGCCCTTCCTGTCCATGGAGTAGACAATCCAGTCACCAGCCAATTACCCGGTCCACCAATCAAGTGACCCGAATCCTTTTAGATGCCCACTGTCCTCTGCAAGAGCTACAAGGCCTTCAGTAGCTGAGCACCAACTGCTTTGTTTTGGGAATGAGAAAATGGGGCTAGAGTTGAGAAAGCACCCATGTCCAAAGGTCACCAGAGAATACATGGTGAAGCCAAGACAAAATGCTCTGTCATGCCTTGAGAGCTGGTGTCCATATAGCCCATTAACACTTTGAGAAGTGTCACAGTCCACACGGTTCCCAGGAACATAAAGCCCCCAAGTACCATGGACATCATTCTGCAATTGTCTCTGAACGCTGTAGAATCTATCCATCCTTAGGCTCTTATATAACAAAGCAGAAAACCCTGACCTGGCCTAGTTTTCAGTAGGTGGCCCTTAAGAATGTGGGATTCTAGACTCTCGTCCCATCTGGGACCATGATCCTTGTATATGATGTCCTTTGGCTCCACACTGATGTTCTTTTGAAATCCTTGGAAGACAGTGCCAAGAAATGAAGGCAAATGGAGGCAATTCTCTCTTCGCAAGAGTGTTCCAAGGAGCATAAGCATCGGTTCGAAGCCCACCTCTTCATTTTAGGTATATGTGGGCGTGGAAACAAAACGCCACACCTGTGCACTGGAAACAGATGCTGCACCTCCTGGGTTCTATGTGTGTACAGACACAGTCAATCCCAGCTACGATGCCCTCTTTCTGCTTTCCCCATCAACCACAGACAGACACAGTCAATCCCAGCTACGATGCCCTCTATCTGCTTTCCCCATCAACCACAGTGCTTGGTTTCCTGCATCCATAAACAAATTCTATGCTGTGCCAGAGCGTGTGTTCTATTGCATTCAAGGAGAAGGAGTTGCTGATGCATGAAGGTCTTAGTTACTGAGAAAAAACAAGAATGAAAACCAGTGAAAGCCAAGGCCAGGGCTCAGCAGCTGCTTCTCAGGATGAACTCAAGGGCATGACCCTGACAACAGAGTTCAAGGAAGTCAGCACAATGTGGCTGGCTTCCAGACCATTCTGTCTTGTTAATTTACTGGCTTACTTGTCCTACTGTCTGATTCCTTTCATTAAGGTCATCATTCTAGAACATCTTTCCCTGTTGCTGTTCCCTGTGTCCACTGCCTTCCCAACACGCACGCACGCACACACACGGAAATCCTCCTGTTTGTTGCTCAAATTCAACTTTGATACCATTTCTTCAAAGGGCCTTTTCTTACCACCCCCAAAGTACCAGTTACCCCTACTCTCTGGACTCACTACCACTGTTAACATTATACAAGTTTTGAAAACCATCATTGAAATGTGGCCATTTCATGCATCTCTGAGCTCCTCAAAGTCAAGACTGTTCTTTCTTCTGAGTCACTTCCATAACTTCATCAGTAGCATGTGCAACCGAGGGTCCACACAAGTGAGAACTGACTGACTGTTAGAAAAACCAAGTATGCAAAACTTCAGCAACTCGTTTCTTGTTCCTACTGCTCTAAAGGCTCCTTTCAGTCATTTGACCATTGCCATTCTGCTGCCCCTTCACATCTAACCTGGCACCTGACATTTCCCATAGTCTCCCACGCCAGTGCACTTAATTGCCATCACCCTGGTTCCCGGCCCCAAGTTCCATGTTTAACAGAAGCTTCACACTGCAGGATGTATCCAAAGGAGCTGGGCTATCTCCCTTGAACTCTTTATCAAGAATATTCAGGGCCCATTCTATCTTTCTGTGGCATCCTGGGGACTGTAGTAGAAGGTGGCAAAGCAGAAGTTCTGCTCACCTGCCTAAAGATCTTCTACAATGATGCTACTTATAGGTGGGGTTCAGAGACTCTCAAGGGATAAGTCAAAGGACAAAGGGCTCTCTTAAGAGACACAGAGCTTCTCAAGAGCTCAAGTCCTATAGAAATCCCTCTAGTGTAGTAGTAGGCTAGTGCACAGGGTAGGTAGTCATGGTGAATCGGCTTGAAAATCATTCATCCCTGGAGATGATATAAGAAGGCAGAGAAATATGGTACAACACCACGATCTCTGAAGTATTATAGCTGAATGTGTAGTATAGACATAAGAGAAGGCTTAACTCACTGAGGAGAATGCCACTGCCTATGACCAGTGTGGAAGGGAGTGGATGTTGACAAAGCCAACATTTGCTGAGCATCCAAGACGGACTCTATCTCCATCACACTTTTCTTCCCTTCTTTCCCCAAGAACCATGGACAGCGACTTCTGGGAGCCCAAGAGTGCTCCATGGATTGAAAGCCCAGAATGAGAGACCCTTTCTCTTGTTCCCATAATGCTTCTGCCCTGTAGTGTCTTCTCAAACTCTGTGCACCCCGATGGAGGGAGGGGTGACAGGAATAGCCTCAGAGATGACTCAGTTCGGTGACTAAGGCGAGGAGGTACTGGTAGTGGGAAGCAGGTGGGGGCGAAGAGGAAATGAGTGAATGCTCTATCTGATGGAGGCTGGCTCCAACATAAGGAGATCTGATCTGGTCCCTGTCCTGGATGTAACCGCACAGATGCACTGGGGCCTGAGCTCTTCCTTGTGTATTCTTCTACTTTATCCCACAGTGTGCTTCCTGTATACCCTTCAGCACTAATGCTGAGCATCCCCAATCCTCCAGATTAGCTGGACATTGGACACTTGCGTACCACGGGAATGAGCTGGATGTTTAAACATGTCCTGTATCACCTAAGTCAGCGTGTATCAGTTCTAATCCCAACAGCCGGCTAGACCCTAGACTATATCCCATAGTTACACGTTGACATCCCTGAGCATTGGGCAAGCAGCAGGTCTGTGCCTGAACACAAGGTACCAGCTCACCCGGCCACGTTCGTCTCCTCCGCTGGTTGACTGTGCCGCCATCTACCTCGTTACTCAGGCTAGATCAACCCCAGCACATTCTGGGCTCCTCTTCCTCCTGTGTTCTTAATCACGCCTGTGTCTAGATGAACACCGGCCCCAGGATTTTCACACGCCATTTCTCTCTCCTTCCCCTTTGCGGTTGAGCTGGACAACTCACCACCATCGCTCATCGGCTGCTTCTCACCTTTTCTGACTTCTCCCGCTGCCTCTTAGCCTCAGCCCGGTTCTCAGACTGTGTGCAGAACGACGCTTTCAGATTTCATGTATCGTCTTGCTGTGCATCGGTTTGCCGTCTTCCAATCCAGTTCTCATTGGAAGGTCCAGATTCAGGCCTTTCATCATCCGACACCTCTCTACCTGCTGGTTTGGCAGGCTGATTCCAACACCAAAACTCAGGCGCACAGCCACACGCCCAAGATTGCAGGCATCCCTAGGAGTCCTGCATCACACTGCCCTCTTCCCACGTCTGAATCTCTGATCATGCTACTCCTCCGCACAGGGATGTGGATCTCAGGCAAACTCTCTATCTTCTGCATCTGACTTGGGTTTTCTCTTTCATGGAGCTCTCTACTACACCTGTTTGATTATGCTTTTCTTCCCCCCGCCCCCAGCACCGACAGATCCTTGAAAGCAGCTTTCTAAAATACCCGCTCAACAAATGTCTGTTGAGTGTGTGGACTAGCAAAGGCAGGCATGAAGTCCTGGAGCCTGTTTGAGCCGCTGGCCCCCAGTGTTCCACCCACCATAGAGGTGTCTGATGTAGACAGCAGACAACCACTGCAGTCTCAGATCAGAGGCGATATTGTTCTTCAAACAGGCAGGTCACACTTCTGGCTTATCAGTCAGCAGAGGAGATTGCTGAGTTAATTTTCCCAAGGAAAGATCGTGGGTTCACCTACACAGAAAAAAAAAAAGCTGCTTTCAGAAACTCAGGTTGAAGTCACAAAACGCCTTAACACTAGCACCCAGAACCCAGGCCACCTTAAAACAGGATTCTAGCTATGCCACCAGCATGGCTGGCCTCTACCCACTGGGTGTTCTTTCGACAGCACTCACCCAAGGATTGCCACAGCGTTCAGGCAGACAGAGGGTGATAGCTATGTGCAAAGAAAGCCACCCACAGAGTCTCACCTCTTCTAGGTCACCGCTCTCCCATCCCTTCCCTTTCCAGTACCACCCACACTTTGAGGTGCCACCCACAAAAGCACACTTGAGAGCACGCGCGCGCGCACACACACACACACACACACATATGCACACGCACATAGAGTCAGCTTGTCTGTCTACAGACCCGCAGTTCTACACTTCAGACCACATCATCTCTCGAAAGGAAGCCAGTGTAATTTAGCAGTGCCGAGGGCTATGGTTTTCCAGGTTCTATCAGTTGTCTGCCCCTGGCTGAGCAGTTTCTGCCCCTGAGAAAACCTGAGCTTAGATTTTTCTGGGAGAATTATTACCTTCTCAGGCCCCCCAGTTTGCTTATTTATGGGATAGCACTGAGGGCTTTGCTTACTACCTCCTTCCTAGTAAAACCAAGATGCATCAAAACAGGACTTGCAAATGCGTCTCATGACCACAGGTAGAGTGTAAATATATAAGATTCATAGTATGATAAGGCTAGTAAGTACCAGGTTCTGTCTCTAAGGAAGAGTAGCCTTTCAAATAAAAAAGAACAACTAAAATCCAAACAGTTACTGGGTACATGTTGTGTGAACGAGAGCACCACCAACCATAGCCATAACTACTTTATACTGCATTTGATAACATAGCCCTTTAATGTGTATGTTTGAAGACAAATGCTCTACATTTGAGGTTTAAATTTAGGTTAGTGCATTTTACACATATGGGAAAAGAAACAATATTTGCATATGCACTGATATGTGTGTTGTTTCTGAGAGAAAACAACACTTGCCTAGGAGTCAGGAATAAACATAAAGAAAGGGATGAATTTCAGAGTAAAACATACATACATTCCCTCATGCACACATACGAACACATAAATACATAGACTCAAATCCTGACGTACTCATTCACTTTCTGATTTGGGATCATTTTTACGTTAACTAGTCTCAATTTCCCCGCACTAAAGAGAAAGAAATTATGAAGCTAGTCGCATAGATTTCCTGTGAGAATTATACAAAAAAATACATTATCTAGGACAGAGAGGGCCCAATCCATATCATGACCACCCCCCCTGTGTTTTCCGTCTCACCAACACAAGGTGAGGCCTGGGGCAAGTCACTGACCCCTGGGAGGGCGGGTACTTTCTCCTCTCTAGGAACAGGTGGTCTGGATGACTCCCTGGATTCCTTCCAGACCTCAGATGCAGTAATATCAGATATCAAATATCTATTTTATGCACGGGCCTGAATCTAGATAATGCGCATAGCCCAGGGGAAGCCCCCACAGCCCGGGGCTCACTCCCTTTCCAAAGCGTTTCCTTTCCCCCAACGTGCCAGTTGTTCCCTCTCCCACTTTCAATACAGGGCCCATTGATGACCACAGAAAGGAATGCCCAGTGCAGCTGCGGGCCCACTTGAGCCCTCTGAGCGGGCACGCTCAAGCCTGTTGTGGGCTCTGTGTTCCCAGAGCCTGTTGCTGGAGTGCTGTCTGGAATCCTCAGCACCTGCATGCCAGCTTCCTGAGCATGCCCACTGCCCCCTCCTCCCCATCTTCCATTTGCATCTAAAATGCAGCTGCTCTGGCCCCCTGAAAGGGGAGTGGGGGGAGCCAAAAGCACAGGACATCGCCTTGTTTGGTCTCCTCGGCTGAGCCCAGCCTAGCCCGAGAGCTCCTCTGTATGGAGCCTTTTGTGGTTTTGCCATTATGTTTAAATGAGCTTCGTGTACAAGAGAATTTCTTTCTTTCTTTCTTTCTTTCTTTCTTTCTTTCTTTCTTTCTTTCTTTCTTTTTAATGAAATAAAATGAAACAACCATAAAAGACCACAGCAAAAGACATCTGGTCTTTACATGAAAGCTCTTCTCTCCTCTTGAATTAAAGCAAAACAAAGAAGAAGAAAAGGAAAAAAAAAAGAAGGAAAGAAAAAAGAGTGGGCTGAGCCTTATTTGTACTGTGCCTCCCCCCACCACCAAGGAAACCAATACAAACAAATTAGCACATGATTGGGGCAAATGAGACCAGACAGATAACCTGAGACAGAGGAAGGCTAGATTTCAGTCCGGTGCTCCAATGTGGGTCTCTGTCTCTGTCTCCTTTCATCGCCTGATGAAGAATATTCAGGAGGATGCCTATATGTTTTTCTTTGGGTTCTCTTTCTTATTTAGCTTCTCTAAGAACCCGAATTATAGGCTCAATGTCCTTTATTTATGGCTAGAAACCAAATATGAGTGAGTACATCCCATGTTCCTCTTTTTGGGTCTGGCTTACCTCACTCAGGATAGTGTTTTCTATTTCCATCCATTTGCCTGCAAACTTCAAGAAGTCCTTGTTTTTTTACTGCTGAGTAGTACTCTAATATGTATATATTCCATACTTTCTTCATCCATTCTTCAATTGAAGGGCATCTAGGTTGTTTCCAGGTTCTGGCTATTACAAACAATGCTGCTATAAACATAGTAGAGCATATACTTTTGCTGTATGATAAAGCATATTCCCAAGAGTGTCCAAGGACCACCCACCTCCATCCAGGTCTAGTAAGGTGAGCATCTAAACTGCCTAGGCTCCCACAAAGCCAATACGTGTAGTAGGATCAAAAACCCATTGCCATTGTTCTTGGGCTCAGTAGTCCTCATTGTCCGCTATGTTCAGCAAGACAGGTTTTATCCCAGGCTTTTTCAGACCCAGGCCAGCTGGCCTTGGTGAGTTCCCGATAGAACATCCCCATTGTCTCAGTGTATGGGTGCACCCCTTGCGGTCCTGAGTTCCTTGCTCGTGCTCTCTCTCCTTCTGCTCCTGATTTGGATACAGGGAACCCTGATTGCTCTTTGGGCTGACGAGGGAGGGGAACTTGATTGGGGGAGGGGGAGGAAAAGGGGAGGCGGCGGTGGGGAAGAGACAGAAATCTTTAATAAATAAATTTTTAAAAAATCAAATAAAAAAAAGAAAAAAAACAGGAAGGCTAGAACCCTCTCCTATCCCTTCAGCTTTGCCTACACACTTCTCACCAGAAACCCTCCACCCCGTTACTTTTTTGAAAGAATGCTCTCTGCTCCCACTTCATAGATAACATATCTGCGAACTGTCTAGCTGTGATTAAACCCCTGACAACTTCCTTACTGAGTACCACAGGTGGGTGTTGTGCAGGTGGCACCTGGCAAATATTTTGAGAAGCAATGCATGCCCATTACCCCCCAACTCTATCTCTGCTGTAAATCCCCCCTCTGCCAACAGCTGCTTTTTCCTCGCTAGGTTCCTATCTCTCTGACTGGTTCCCAGCACCCACATTCCAAGCACCCGACACCCACCTTAAATTCCTGGGTCAGACTCCAAAAAGTCCCTTCCTCCTCAAGCACTCAGCATCTATCCCGCTGCCCTACTGCCAAGGTCTGTGCTGCCAAAACATCTCTGTGTTCTCCTCTCCCCACCGTTGCCATCATTGCTGAGTCTAGACCACTCTGCCCACTTGCTTGTCCTGCGTCCCGACAGTCCTCACGCTCAGCAGTGCTGACAACGACCATTCCTTGAGCAAAACACTTAGGAGATTCTAGGTTGGAGGCTAACACCCCCAGCTTGGCTTCTCCTGGACTGTATCCTGTCTACTTTCTTAATAGCCCCTGCCTATACTACCACTGCAGCCCAAGCAGACATCAGTGGTCTGCTGTCTGTGTGCTCTCTCGGGCTGGGGCACAGTGCCGCTTTTTGTCCCTGGGGCATTCTCCTGACTCTGCCTGGGTTTCTCTATTCTCTCTTCAGGGGCCACTCTCTCCAGCAGTGATTCCTGACCACAGCTAGCAACCCCCGTCTTCCAAGGGTTCAGCACCCTGCAGGATGTTCTCAGGGTGCAAACACCACCTGTCTCATGGCACTTCTTCAATGTCCTTTTATTACATAATATCCCAGTTTCTCTGCTGAAGAATCTGATAACACAGGCATGGGTCTACTATCCCATATTAATACAGTCCCAGCTCTTCACCTGCTACCCCCACGCCCTTGCTCTTTTGATGGAAAGACCGCTTTCCACAAAAATCAAAATAAGGGAGAAACGTTGCACATTTTTAAAATTGAAATCTACCTCTAGACTTTTAGGAGTATTCAAAATACACATAATCACACACTAGAAAGTTGATCTCCCACTGCGATTTCATTTCCCACTCTCAGACCATAAACCTATGTACGCGAGCGAATGTCAAGCGTGAGACTTCTTCACTTGCAGACCCACCCATGAGAGCCCCTTATCTGCCTCTCGAAGTCTCCCGACACCCTCCTTTCCTGAGGTTCTTGGTCAGCCTACACTGGTTATTGACCCATGCCACGCACTTTGCAGGTGTCTTAGGCGATCTCTTTTGCCTCCTCTGTGGCACAGGGACCCTTCTCTACTGTCCTGTGAAGGAACAATTCACCAGGCAGGCAAGGGGACGGACTGACCTGTGCTCCCACTGCTGGGCGTGGCAAAGGTGGAGCCTCGCCTCCACTCTTCAACTCAAATGGGCCAACTTTGCAGTTCTAGGCTAGGTCCTTTCAAGGACTGGAAATCTCGAAAGAGGACTGTTGCATAGAGCAGAGGAAGCTTTCTCTCTCAGCTCGAGAACCTGGGGAGTAGCCTAAAAAAGAACAAAGCCAGCAGGGTCCAAAGCCCAGCCCAGCTGGAAGGCAGCCGACAGAAGCAGCTGGAAAGCCGGGCTCTTTCTAAAGTTATCAGTCACACTAGGTTTCCCAGGCAGGTGCCATTGCACGTGGCTGGGTGTCCTTTCATGTCTGCTATCCATGTACCTTCTTCAGAGGCAGGGAGACTGCCACCATTTTAAGGAACCAGCTATATAAAAAGTAGCAACGGTAGCAACTGCCTTCCTGGTTAAAAACTGCACTTCCAGGCCCAACGTTCAAAGTAAACAGTTCTACTTTGTTTTTGATAAGTTGGTCGTGAGCGGAGCAACAACCTCTTTGCTTCTTTCCTGCTCACCTCCCATTCTTTCCCCCGTTGTATTTCCTTGGGGAGAGGAAAAGGCACATGCCTATAAAAGCAGCTGGGGGCATGGTTCTAACCAAAGACCATCCGCTGGATTGCTGGCTCTGGGTGAGTAGGGTCGGCTGGACTTGCTTACCACTTCACCCGCTTCACACACTAGAATTTTGAAAGTTAGACTTGTAAGGGGCTGAAACAAAGACTCCGGTGTGAGGTCAATGCCCCTAGATAGTCCACTTTAAGCTAGCGCTCCTTGTGAGAAGGTGGACTAACAGAAACTGATTTTCTCATTCATCCTGGGCCTGAACACATGGACCTGGGGGCAGATTCAGCACAGGTACTATAAAAGTGGCAGAGCAATAATCAGTTGACATTTATTCAGAGCCAAGTAAGAAATCTTGAAAGATAATAATATTACGTATGCAATTTAATTTAGTCTTGAAGCCGTGTAAGGCTGTTTTGACCCTTCTTTTACAGAGAGAACCATTGGCATTCCTGAAAACGTGGAGCATAGCAGCGTACCCTGGAGGAAGAGAAGACACGAAGTCAGAGCCCTGGGTTCTGAGAAAGAGCAACGAAATAAATCTAGGCCGCAGCCTCTCGGGACAGAAGGGAATGGGAAAGACCAATCCTCAGCCTTTGACAAAGAATTTGGACAGCAGTGATGTCCCACGTACCTTCTTCAGCCATTTCTGAATATCTCCTTTACCCTTTGAGAAGCTGTGGAGAGGACAAGGAAGTCCTTTAGGGAAGCATGTCCAGTGGTTGACATGTGTGTTCTGTGTGCCTGTCGGAAGGGAAAGACACCGACTATTGAGGCCAAAGAGGAGAAAAAGAAAACACACACACACACAAAGAAAGAGAACCTTTCACGTGTCTTGCAAGTCCCACTGACATCCCAGCATCCCAAAGGTACCAAGCAAAGCAAGCATTGGTGTGAATGTCATGGCTACCTGCCAAATAAGGACAGCATGTATATTCTCCAATTTAAGAGCCAAGGAATTCAAGTATTAGGAAAGTCAATGTTAAGTGCCTATCAGACACCCAGGACTAGGGAAAGATGCAGAGTCAATATGGGGTGTATGGACTAGCAAACAAACTGACATTAAGGACAGAAACACTTACAAGGTTAGAAGGCCAGGACGTAAGAGCACAGAACCAAGCATAAGGAAAATGGCAGAAGGGATGGCCTGGTTCTTCAGGGTAGGAGAGAAGAGTCCTGTCTGAAGAGATGTCCTCCATTACTGTGAACCAAGAAGAGGAGGAGGAGGATCAGCCCGCGGGAAGCCTCTGAGGATGGAAAGTGAGGTGGCCACTGGGGGGAGGGGGCAGGCGCTGTTAAAAATGAAGTGGACTCAGAGTTAAGAAGGAGCTGGGAGGAGTCTGTATGATCACATCTCATGGTACATGTGTATGAACTTCTCAAGGAAACGGCAGAAGAATTTCAAACAGATGCATCGCTGGGGAAGGTAAGGCCTAGACTCAAGGATCGTCTAAGCCTTGGGAAGAACTCAAAGCTTCCATGGAGGTGCTGAGGACAGTGGGAAGCCACCTGAGTCTCAAGCAGGAACGTGACTTGATCTCTTAACATGCTGTTTTAAATGGTCTCGTCTAGTGCATAAAACGGATTGGGTAGAACAAGGAAACTGTTACTTACAGTCTTGCAGGAAGTTGTTGGGTAGAGCTCCAGGAAGGTTCAAGAGTGAGTGACCTTGACCCAAACCACAGGCCCTTTATCTGAATCAAATAACAATTGTTTATGATTTATTATCTTAAAAATGCATATCATGTTACTAAACCGAATCAGATTTTCAGCTGTCTTATCAACGTAGATCATAAGAGTCTGAGAGGGTTGCTACAAGGAAGTACAAATTCTCGATGATGTTCCTGGTCGCCTTTTTCTGCTTCCCAGGTGTTCCAGGAATGATGGCGGAGAGGAACGGTGACAACGAGGGATGCGTATATAGGTCACTTGTGTTGGGTTCGCCTACACAGCCTCAACCTCATTACATAGCCACAACGACAAATGTCAGTGGCAGGAAGTACACAACAAGAAGAATTAACCACATGGTTTTTTTCATCCAGATTCAAGAGTTACACACATTTACAGTTGGTTTGATGGAGCTTGGGGGCGGGTGGGCTGGCTTCTCACTTTTTTTTAACCAATAGGATTCCACGGCAGCCTTCAGCACAACAGCCTGTTGGTAGCTGACCTTTCAAGCTAGAGGGTTTGAAGGGAAGAAGAGAAAGAAAAGAGAGAGAAAACATGGACTCTGTCCATTTGTCATACTAATGGCTGAGCACTGGATCGGTCTGATGTTGCAGACGCATTAATTTGATTAAGATACAATCCACGGGTCATTCAGGCATATAAAGTACTCTTGCTTAATTGCAAAATTAACAATGGGACAGGATAAATCATTACCAAACTGGAGTTTATTCTGGGACTCGTGGATTTTTTTTTCCCCTCACCCAATTCATTTTTCTCCGTCTAGAGTTGTTTTTGACACTTGGTTAGAGGAAAAATCTGGACGAAGGCAATTGTGCATGCATGCCAACTCTTCAGGGCATCCGTTAGGGGAGGTTAGGCACACTGAGAACAAGAAGTACTGGTAGACCCATCTTACAAAGAGCTTCCCAGAGTCCCTTTGCCTCCGAAGTATTTATAACCATCCCATGATTCACAGGGCTTGGGAAGCTATCCATTGCCTCAAGAAATCCCGGAAGATCGAAAGCTGAAAACTTACTTTCCATTTCTTAACTACCTTGTTTTTTTTTTTTTTTCAGAATAGCCTGAGTTTTAGCATAAGCAACCTTTGGTCCATCACTTACTGATTATTTATTATGTGATTAACACACACACACACAATACAAAGATTTGATCCCTGACACAACAAGCTTCCACTATGAACAGTCACTGGTTTCTTTCTCTTTTGTGATTCTATCAAAAGCACCTAGCTAGACAACAGAGCCCACAGATAGCTGAAGCAGAAGAAGCATCCGAAGAGACCATGAAGACAAAAGTAAATCTATCAGGGAGTGGATGTGGTTGGTATTGGCCTTACACTGTGGGAAGAGTTGTCATGAAGAGAGGGGAAGAAAGAGAAAAGAACAATTCCTTCACAGACAGTCCCAACAAGGAAGCACAGGTCCTCGCAGTCCCAAGGGAGTAAGGCCATGGGAGAACGTATCCCATACCACACAGAAGGAAGGACTTTGGACATTGTCCTGTATCTGTGGCCTTGAACTGGGTGTTTCACCTGCAAGGACCTTGATTTCCTCACCTTCAGAATGAGAATAAAGATCCTGCACTTTCTAGTTTTATGCCAGCTCGACACAAGCTGTAGTCATCTGGGAGGAGGGAGCCTCAATTGAGAAAAGGCCTCCATACAATTAAGAGGCCACCGGTGCAACCTCGGTAGCAGTTGAAGACCCGGAATTGAAGGGGTCATGAAGACAGTTGGCACCATGAAGAAAGCCCAGGGGAGGCTATTGGCAAAAGTGCAGCTCCATGACAAGAGACTACCCCAGAATTTTAGAGATGCCAGTAGCAGGGGTGACCCCCCCAATGCTAAGAACAGCTTTAGAATGGACAGCCTGAACTCGAGACAATCTGTGTGTGCAGCAAAGGGTGGAGCCAGAGAAATGACCTTTGGAGGCGGCCGAAGGATCACGAGTGAATCCCAGACACCGAGCATTGATTTATTTACGCTAGTGGAGTTTGGTTTGATTTTGATCCGATTGTGCCTGTGCCCAGATTCTTCCCTCTTGGAATAAGAAAGTATTTATTTTTGATTTTGCTGGAACCCACAGTTGAGAGACTTTGGACTTGTAAAGAGGTTTTGGAGTTTTGCAGAGATTTTATGTTTAAAAGGACACTGGAGATTTTTTAAAGAGACAACCTTTAAAGTGTTTGAATGTGTAAGGCTATGGGACATTTAAGTGGATAAAATGTTTTATATTGTAACTTTGATAGTAATGTGTGATTCTGGAGATAAACAAGAAAGGAAGGGTTATGTTTTAACAGTGGTGTGCTTTTGTGTCAAGTTGACAAGGGTCCATGGTGTTGGCTAGATTTATGTCAACTTGACATAAACTGTAGTCATTGGAGAAGAGGGGACTTCAATTGATAAAAGGCATACATAAGATTGGGCTATAGGCGAACCTGTGGAGCATTTTCTTAATTCATGATTGATGTAGTAGGGGCAAGCCCATTTTGGTGGTCTTGGGTCATATAAGAAAGCAGACTGAGCAAGCCATGAGGAGAAAGCCAGTAAGCAGCACTCCTCCATGGCCTCTGCATCAGCCCCTGACTCTGGATTCCCACCCAGTTTGAGTTCCTACCTTGGCTTCTTCCCTCAACGAATTGTGACTTGGGATAAGTGAGCCAAATAAAACTTTTTTCACAAGTTACTTTGGGCCATGGTATTTCGTCACAGTAATAGAACCCTGACTGATACATAAGGCAGATCTCTCTCCCATCTACTTCAGAGGCCCTTTTGGGAGCCAGTGAAATCATACGCACACATTTCACTGACTGTATAAGAAAATGCTGAGCTTCAAATCCCTCTTTGATATCTATGAAGCAGATAGATCACCGCAAAG